CAGTCTCCGTCGTCTGTCTCATATCCAGAAAATCCCTGGCCAGCTGCTGAAGCTCGATAGCCGGCGCAAACTCTGCCTTGAACCTGGTCATAAAGTCCGACCAGGTCATAGCCTTGATAGCTGAGGCTCCCAACGAGTCACCCACTGACTCCCACCAATCGTGGGCTCGGTCCCGTAAACACCCTACTGCATACCTCACCTTCGACCCCTCGGGGCAGAATCTGATCAACTGTGCAGACTCGATGTCTGCAATCCATCGCCTGGCAGCAATGGGGTCCTTTACCCCATGGAAATCTGGCGCACCACTGCCCCTGAAGTCCTTGAAGGACAGTGTGCGTGACCCCTACTGGCTAGATGCAAAATCACTCCTGAATGCCCGCAGGCGATCCTCCATCAACTCCATGATCCCTTCCTTGATCGACCCGAAGATAATGGGAGTTGACTCAAGGATACCCCTGGTGATCTCTGACGCGATGAACTCACGTAGCCCCTCATCTACCGGCTCTAAACCTGATCCCGAACCTGACCCCTCTCCAGAACCGCCATCCACCAGCCTCGATCGAAGTACCACCATTCCGCAATACATCACAACAATCATTAGATATACTGATACTTCCTGAGGGATCACAGCTACTTACAAGTTCCCTGGTCTTGTCTTGGCCTTCATTGGTTCGGGTACGGATCCTCTGCTTTCAGTAGTACGGGCCCATACTACCTTCCACATCTATCCGTACCTTCTTCAAGGACTGCCTCGACTCCACAAGGTCCCTCACACTAAGACTGGTTACTACTATACTCATCCCAGGCTCGCCCTAGGGGAAATCTCCGGCTCTACTCGATCCAGTCCTCAGCTGCTGCAGGCCTCCTTGTAATGCCAATTAGCCATCACCCAAACACCATCACATGCGACGAGACTCGGATAATCCTTCGAGTGCCCGACTCGTCCCTACAACGGTTGGACTCAAACAAGAGCTGCGCAGTAGGATCAAATCCGGTACTCTAAGATTATTCAACTCTGATCACCTGTGATGTGACGTATTCGCCTAACGGCTAATTCCCATTATTCGGAGTCCCACGTAGCACAAATCAAGCAGCATTCGGACAAGGGAAACGACTTCAAACAATTCTGCTCTCATAGAGAGAATTGAACTAGCACACCGTGCTAACTCATACTACCTGGCATACCCTAACAGGCTACCCTACCGCTGTCTACTCTATACTAGCATGCAATTCACATATAGATGGAACACATAAAGTAGGCACATAAGGCATCATTCCTAGATCCTTAGTCCTATTCTAGCATGCTGTTCTACAAAAGCTGATAAACATAACATAAACTTGTATGGGTACTTTGGGGAATACTTACTTGAGCTCGGCCGGTCGCGCACATCACACACACTTTTGTTCTTTCTTAAACTCTTTTCTCCATTTTAGAAAACATTTTCTTTTAAAAATCTTTTAATCCCTCGATTTGAGTTCAGACACCCCCGAAGGTGAGTCCGAATCCCTCAAACCAGGGCTCTGATACCAACTTGTAAAGTCCCAATTTTCACGTCCGAAAATTTTGTTTTAAAACATTACTTTAGAAAACATTAACAATTAAAAACATTGTTTGATCACACAATAACACAACGTAAACCATGTTTAAAAAGCCAAACCATACAACCCAACAAAATATCAGAGTACAAATCCCAGTGAATCTCGTAAATGCAGAAACCAGAGTGTGTGCATGATGTGCTGCTACCGCGCCAGCTCCATCCCCTTCGAAGAAGAGGTACCTGAAACCAAAATTGTAAAACGTAAGCACAAAGCTTAGTGAGTTCCCCAATGTACCACATACCACATAATCACATAACATACGTAAATTTGTCAGACATATCTGGGTGCCCGACCTACCCCTTCGGTCCTCTCGACCGGATACTGCCTAGCATATCTGGGTGCTGGCCTCCCCTTCGGTCCTCTCGACCGGATACTGCCTAGCATATCTGGGTGCTGGCCTCCCATTCGGTCCTCTCGACCGGATACTGGGGACTATTTCACCCCTACTACTACCACATAACACATATATCACATAGTCTATCTAGCATGGCTGGGCATGACCGCCCCTTCGGCCCTATCGACTGGTATTCTAGGGGACTATCTCCCCCTACTGTCACTAACACATAACATAACACAGTAGTAGCAACCATAGATGAATATCACAAAGACAATCATCTAATCACACATCTCCTACTGGTGGGCCAACATTGTGGCCTCAGACCCACCGCTACTGGAAGGTAACTCACCTCAAAGTAGCTGCTGAACTAATCGGGAACTGACTAACTGCTGCTGCTGCTGCTCCGGAAATCCTCCGACTGCAATTCCCACAACATACTCAATCACACACTGCTAACTGTCCTTTGGGTAAAATGACCATTTTACCCCTGGTCAAGCCCTAAGTCAAAATCAGAGTCAACTTTCAGTTGACCCGACTCACCGAGTTGGCTCTCCAACTCGCCGAGTTCCTATCCAGATGATTGTCCTGAGTCCCTGATTCTACTCGTCGAGTTAGGCTATGACTCGACGAGTTCTTCTTCTAAACTGACATTGAAGTTCTTCGTCCTATCGCCGAGTTGTATGAACAAGTCGTCGAGTTCATCTTCATCCGATGAACACTCATGCTTAGACTCGCCGAGTTGTATGAACAACTCGCCGAGTCTGTTCTTGATCTATGAAGATTGCCTTGGACTCACCGAGCCAGGCCATGACTCGCCGAGTCCTACCATGGGTGAGTTCAGCTTCCAACTCACCGAGTCACACCCTGTGATTCACCGCTCAAACTCGATACAGCAAAAAGGGACAAATTCGGTGACTCGCGAGCAGACTCGCCGAGTCACATGAACGACTCGCCGAGTCGTTGCCATGCATCCATTAATTACACCGATTTGTTCGATTCCAGTCAATGCCATTCATAGATCTGGGCTTCTAGGACACGAATCACACGTAAAGTTTCCAACTTTACGTGTAGATATTCACCAATATGGATTTTAGGGTTCAAAGTGCCTCAAAAGGGTAGATCTAGGGTGAACAAGCCACATGGGTCCATAAAGCTAACAGATCTAAGCTCCTGGAGCTCAATCTTGCCTAGATCTAGTGGCCAATCAACTTATTACGAAACATTATGCACATACTAGCTTGGGGAATGGCTCAAGAATGTCTTAAATGAAACCTTAAGCATAGAAACAGGGGGAAAATGGGATATACCTCAATGAAACTGTTGAAAAAACACAATGATGCTTGGATGGCTCTCCTTCCTCTTGATCTACTTCCCCTTCTTGCCTCAAAGCCTTCAAGAACACACACAATAGCCTCAAACTCTCAAGGAACAAGCTTAAAACGAGGGTTGGGAGCTCTGGGGGTGAATGGGGGCTGGCATGGGGTGGATATGAGGTTTAAATAGGGTGCAAACCCCTGAAACTTAGGGTTTCATCCAACAGCGGTGACTCGCCGAGTCCAGGATATGGACTCGTCGAGTCGCCAACTTAAACGTGTCCAGGGTCTCGTCCCTACTCGGCGAGTCGGACCTATGACTCGCCGAGTCCAAGGCTAAAAATGGAAAATACTTAAATGAGATTTACATACCAGGAACCAGGTGCTACAAGCACCGTGGTAAGTCTGGATGAACCTAACAGCTACATGGAATCCATGACAGGCCCTCGCAGATGGAATCTTTTTTTCGATGAGAAAGTCAAAGAGTTTGGCTCTTCACGGAGTGAAGATGAATCTTGTGTATATTTCAAGGCTAGTGGGAGCATTGTTAGCTTTTTGGTACTCTATGTGGATGACATACTACTTATAGGAAATGAAATCCCAACTCTATAGGAAGTGAAATCCTGGCTTGGGAAGTGTTTCGCTATGAAGGACGTTGGAGAAGCTGCCTATATCCTAGGGATAAGGATTTTGAGAGACTGGTGTAAAAGACTAATTGGTCTTAGTCAAAGTACCTACTTGGATAAGGTGTTGAATAGGTTCAGCATGTAGAATTCCAAGAAAGGAGAAGCTTTTGTTGCTGCCTTGTTTCTTTCACCTATAATGACCGATTTTTCCTCCATATCTGATGTTACTACTTGTGTGAAACTGAATATATATAGATCACAAAAAGGGTTTTAAAAATGTAAGAAATAGCAATAAAGAAAATATATATAAATAAAAGGGAAATCATATGGATGATGGTGTTTGCCATATAAAGTGTATCTAAGATTTTAAGATAGCCTTACCTTGAAGGATAATGGTGACCCTGCAGAAAAATTAAATGAAAACATGTGATCAAACATACATAATCAAGTAATGAATCAGGTAAAATAAACTTAAATGAATACCTTAATTGGGTCATGCATTTCATCGAACATCATGTAGGCATGTTTCTCATAAAAAACAATAAATATAACCTCAGGTTGTGGACCATAAACTGAAAACAAAAACTAAAACCCAATAAGCATCCAACATAATGTAAAGGATATAATGAAATTAACATAAATTGTAAAGGATACCAATTCCCAGATATATAACTTTAGTGAATTACATGAGAATAATTAACAAAAAATATTATAAAATCGTTATGGGAAAGGATCAAAAGAGAGAAAAAGTTTGCTTACTGTGTGGCACGTTTTGTGTCTGTTATTGAAGCAGAAGGCTTGTTGCGCGAAGAATCCTTTCTTTCAGAAGTATCTCTATCTTGTCTAACAGATTTAATAGCATCTTCTTCGTTCTGGTACGTAGACTAATACATATGTATATACATATCAGTTAATCACAAATCACGCCTAAAGGACTATTATTGAGACTAATAGCTAAACAATTATCACAATTTGCTTTAATCTTACGACCAAAAGGGATCCAATACGTATCTATCCTAAATACGTGAACTAATATGTGTTAAGCCTTAGTGGGAACATGACCTAAAAACCAAAATCACAGAGATCATAATTCATCATATTCGAAGTAAAGTTGAAATGTGAAGTTTAAAAGCTGAAAATCAAACATTTTAGGTATCCTTTGGAATCCCATAACCATTGGAGTACATCAAGACGACGAAAAGTTGCAGATACCCCCCTCCCCCCACCCCGCTTTGGCTTCTTTATGGGTAAGCAAGGACACAGATTCGAAACATGGAAGCACCCAACCAAGCCAAGCAGTAAAAGGGCCAAATCGAAGGTAGGAAAGTGATCGCTGCTACCTTCTGTGGTTTGCTCATCTGCTGCATCTTCATTTGGTGTCAACCATGGGGGTGGTGCGTGGTAGTGTCGAACCCTACCCGATGTTGGATACGTGAGAAAATCCTAGCATATGTGTTTCTTTCAAACATATACTATTGCAGTGAAAGGCGGTTCGTGTGTTATCATGCTGATTGCTTAAGATTGGAGAAGCAATGAAGAAGTAGAAAAGAAGCGGAGATAGCAAAGGGTAGAAGAAGAGAGGAGACTCGATTTGGGAGGTGGTGAAGGATCATGAAGCAAACAGAACGAAAACAGATAAACATCAAATATTGAGAGACCGAGCACGATGAACAACATGTGGACAGAGAATATGATATTTTCCATAAAATACCCCTATACCAAAATTCCATAATCAAGGGACTATTTCTGCTATTCATCTTGCAAGACAACTTTAATATATATATATATATATATATATATATATATATATATATATATATATATATATATATATATATATATATATATATAGGGTTAGGTTATTTTGTTTTTACTAACTATTGTGTGCCAGAATACACAGATCTGGACCATCGGATGGAATATAATCAAATGTCATGATTTGAAGGTCTATGGTAGTAGAATAGGATAGCATGTACCATTTAATCACACAAATTTCAGCATAAGGGCATTTTAGTCAATTAACCTATATTAAAAAAGGAAAATTTTGGATTTTTAGGGATGATTAATTCCTTTATTTTGTAAAAATCTGAATATTTTAAATTAATTCAAATTTAAAAATCCGATTTTATTCTGTCAGAATGATAGAATGTCAACCATAAACTAGTAAATGTATTTTTCGATTTTATTCTGTCAGATAGGCAGAATGCCAAACATAAACTAGTAAATACATTCTGAAAGAATACACAAAATCGATTCTTGAACTAATAATATATCAAAAAATTACATTGTATGATTGTGATTCATTGAATAATAACAAACATTCTGAAAGAATAAACAAATATAATTCTTAAAAAATAACAACATTCTTAAAAAATGAGTGTGATCATTCTTTAATTCATTCTTCAACCATTTCCCATTAGGTCTTTAAGTCATTCTTGAAGCCTTTTCTACCAAAAATTCATTGCCAAGTAATTTGTAGTGATACACTTGTAAAACCTGCACATTAAACATACAAATAATTAACTACAATTATATCAGAATACAACAAATAATATTCTTACAAAATAAACTATTTTGCAAGAATATTCTTTAAGAATTTGTATTATCAAGAATATATCCAACAAACAAAATAAGGAACTAGCATCAACCTATTCTGATAGAATAAGGAACTAACATTCTTTGGGTTCCATGTGTTTCTTCTCGATATGCTCAATGTATTTAACTGCAAATTCTAATAGAATAAGAAACTAGCATCAACCTATTGTTATGAAAATGGCATCCAACCCAATCTAAATTGAGTTATATAGTTCTAAAAAGAATAAGGAACAAAGTGAAGTAAAAACATTAATGATTTTTAACTATTTTTTCATTGAGGCATTTTATCGAACACATGGAGGCCATGACAGAATGTTGTTTCAAGAAATTACCTGTGATCAGATTAAGCGTATCATGGAGGCTAGCACCAAGTTCCTTTGGCATGGCTTCTAACAAGGGTATCAATGGACGAAACTGTGACCCATTGAAATATGTAGCTGCAAAGGAGACAGACACTGTTAACCGCATATGTTAATGGTGGAAAAAAGAAAATTTTGTTCAGTTGAAACACACACACACACACACCTGAGATAAAGTTCCTATAATCCCTTAAATTACCTGAAGCACATGCCTCTCTGATGAAGTTCAAGGTGCTGTTTTTAGTATCCCTCCAGAAACTGTAAAGAACAATGATGTTTTCATTCTCTAATGTCTGTAACAGTTTGATTTCTGAAAAGAGTCTCTTGAGAACAGATGGATCTCCACCGAAGCTTCTTAGTTTTACTTGGTTCCATGCCACATACCTTCCTTCTTCTTGATCAAATCCCATGTACACCTTCTTCACTGCACCAGCGCCTAACAGATCATTGTATCTCCCAAATTCAATCGAAAGTTAATAAGTACAAAATTTAATCGAAACATCGAAATTGTAAGACCTAATATATATATATATATATATATATATATATATATATATATATATATATATATATATATATATAATTGTTTAAAGACAAGATTGTTAAAGATAGGGTGAGATATATTTCTTTAAATCATTTTAATACTTGTTTGTTTAAAGATAAGGAGATATTTATTTGTAGAAAAATCATAGATTTTTGGGAAAATTAATGATTAACTCTAAAAAAAAATTTATAGTAAACCGATAAAGGTATTCACTTTAACCTTCTTTGACTATTTTAGTAGATAATCTATCCATGTGGCACGCCACATGGACACCTTCCTTACTTATAATTTTTTTTTTTTTTTAGAAAGACGGGAGGGGGATCAAACGTTACCCTCCTCTATCATTTCAACGCGTTAACCACTGAGCTACAATCTTTACTTCTTTATTATTTCCTTCAACGGATATATAATTTTTAGATTGATAGAGAAAAAGAAATAAATGTCAAAAGATGAGAGGGGGGTTTAAATATGCATGTTAACAACCGAGCTACGAGCTCTTCTTGTTTACTACTTCCTTCGCCGAACAAATAATATGTATATGAAATTAATCGATAAAAAATGAATTTAAAATATCATGAATTTAAAATAAAAACGTATTTCATATTCATATATATTAAAATATTACTATACGTATCAATTTTTTAAAAGTATATTTTTATGGTTTTTTCAAATAAATATATTTTTATGTGTATTTATTCATATAAAGCCATATTTATACGTATTTACATAAACTAGGAGTTATCTTCGCGCCGGGCGGAATTGATCGTATATATAAGCAGATTGCAAGAAATAGCAATGTAGTTTAACCACTTTTACCAATATGGACAATATATTCCATTTTTTACTCATAATAGCATTGTACTATCGATTTTCTACGAAAAATAGCACTTTTTAATAAATAAATATCAATTTACGAAATTGACCTTCAGCTTGCCGGTATCGAGCCAAGAGTAAGGGAAACCCGTTCAAGAGTATTTTATGGCAAAAACTGAATGGGCTAAATTGACATGGATTGTAGGGTTATCGTTGAATCCAAAACTGAATGGGCTAAATTCCTTTTGGGCTTTTATATTCAGATAAACCAAGTCTATTGGACGAATATAATTAATATGTTAAACCGATTTGTTTAAATATGGATTTGATTAAAATTTTAATCATAATGAAGCTTGTATAAACAGAAACAATAAGTTATGTATTCATTGTTTAAATATGTATTTCACATTTAAATATAGGATTTACCCACCAATAATTATATTCAGAATGGTTAATTAGAAATAATAAGGTATAATTAGAGACTAGATAATTATATTTAATCTTGGTTGAGGAGATAGGTTTTACCTACTAATCGTGATGATGTACTAAATTGAGTACAAGTAAAATACATTTAAACCATGTGATTATATTTATACCTTTGGTTTAATAAGATGTCTTGGAAAACGAGAATGATTTCTAGGATTTTGTGTTAATTTTACGGTTGCATCTACACACACAAAGTAAATATTCCATATTGTTAAATTTATTGATGTTTTCGTATTATCTATAAATGATGTATTCTTAATTGCTATAGTCTATTTTACATGTACTCTTAATAGCTATGGAAATAATTGTGAATGAAGACTCTTATGAAGGTTGGTTGCTATTCATAGAGATGAATATGATTCTTGTCGATAACCAAATCCATATGTACTCATTGTTGATAAATATTGGATTGGCCCACCTCAAGATGTTACTTCATTGATCGACTTCATTAGGTGGGTTTAGATATGTAAATTAAGTTTATATATCCTCCGAATTGAGATATATTATCCCTTGAGTAAGTATGGTGTCATACATTGATGTAGTTAAATAATATTTTAAACATGACAATCATAACGGATAGGATCATATGTGATATGAAACTTACGATATATGCATGTAGTCATAGATGATATTTGTTTCTCTAATTATTGGAGTGATAGGTTAGCCTCTTAGTAGAATGAAATATATCTAAGTCTATTATCATACACATATGATATTAACATGATGGTCAATGAATTTTGTTATATTATTTAACTAATAAATCAAGAAACCATTAATAAACTTATACAAGATTGATTCAGTCAATTCCTTATGTAGATATGAAAACAAAATGGCATAAGACGTACCGCATTTAACATTAATTGTTAAGGAAAGTTTTACAGAGATAAACATTCATATATAGTAAGAGATAGTGAAGTGTTGATAGACTTTTAACAGAGTTTGCATACTTGATTTATTTTGTCCATTGCACAGATGGGAGTCTATTGGATATATAGCGTGCAAGATACAATCAATTTATTATACGACTACTTATATATGAACATATGGAGTTTGTAACATCCCAAAAGTACCGAGTAAAAATTTCATTTTAAATAAGTCAAAACAATTCATTCATTCTTCCTAAAGACTATCAGAGTCAAAGTATTTTCAAAACATCAGAGTAATTTGTAAACATTCAATGCAGAATAAATCTCTAGGGAATGTAGTGTGATCAAGCCGAACCCTTCATTTTGAAACTAGTAGTACCTGAAAACATTTTTAACATAACTTGTAAGCACAAAGCTTAGTGAGTTCCTCAAAATACCACATACAATAAATATAACAACAGGTAATTGTATCAGGTCCATAATAACCTGGGCCCGTATCAACCCCGAGTCTATAATGACTCTGAGCCCAAATCGGCTCTATCGGGTCCGTAACAACCCTGGATATGTATCAACCTCGAGTCCATAATGACTCAGAACCTAGATCGGATCCATGCGTACAATATACAATCATACCAGCAATAGTCACAAAGAAACATGCATCCTATATACATAAATAAGTGGACTGACATTAGAACCTTCGACCCACGAGTAAGATGAGAATACTAACATTGATCGGTAGACAAATAGATCTCACACACGAGCTGCCAATGCTAAAGTCTCTCATGTTGGATTAAGTGTCTAAGGCCATAACTAAAATAGTTATATACTTGAATTGATAGTAGCACAGTCCTTTTGGATTGCCCTCAAACTTAACAATTAGACATGATGACTTTTAGAAAGAGATAGAGATTGGTTTATAATGTGATTAAAAACTTGTAATAAATAGTTTATTAATGTATTATGAAAATAATATATTAATTATAAAAGCTATTATTTAATTAATAATTGACCATAAATTAATAAGAATTAATTTTAGGATTAATAGAAATAATTAAAAGTGTAGGGTCTAAAGTGCAATTATTCAATAATTGAACAAAAGGCTCCCAAACCTTCCAACCCTAGGGGTGGACTATTTCAAGGAGGATATTTTTAGGTTTCGATAATATCCCATGCGGATAAATAAGGAATGAGAGAAATTCCAGATTTGAAATATTAATTTAATATTCAAATCAGGGTTATCTAGGGTTTCATTTGCCACTATATAAAGACCCTTCGGCCTCCTAATTTCAGCCACTTATTCTTCTAGAGAGATAACCGAAAATCCTACTCTCCTCTCTCTTAAGCCTCCTGCTTGCTAGCTTGGGTGTGACAATTACGGTACTTGCTTCCAAGAGATCTACAAGTGAAAGATTCTTGTTATTTACTATAATAACAATAAGGTATGTAATCCTAAACCCTTGCTTCGGTATTTTAGAAAATAACTTAGGTTTTTAGGGTTTCGTATTTGATATTCATAGTTATAGGTTAAATAGTGAAAACATAGATCCTTTGGGTTGCATGTGAACTTAATGGTTTTAAGTTTATTTGTTTTACCTAAATCTCATCAATAGTATCAAAGCATCTGGTTTGTTTTCAATTGAATAGCTATAATAGTAGAATTAGATCAATTAAGGTTTATATAAATTAAACCCAAAAAGCCAAGAATTTCGACTAGGGTTAGGGTTTTTTTGGAAACCCTACTCCCTTCCCCCTATTGTGAATTTTTTAGGGTTAGGGTTTTAGAAACCTTAGGCTTCCTCCCCAAGGCTTTCGAAAATGGCTAGGTTTTTAGGGTTTCCTGTTTTAGATATTTGTTAGTTTAATTTGATTAAAAGGGATAATTATAAAAATTGGATAACACCTACACCTTAATTTTCGAAAATAAGAGGGTTAGGATTAGGATTAAACTATTTGATTAATTTAATTAGTTAATAATTATTTGATTTAATATATTTAATATGTAACTCTAACTTGATATTATACACTATGTTCATTCTATGACAACAAATTCAGTTCGGAATCACCAAGTAAAGATCAAAACACTATACATAACGTTTCAAAAAGTCAATTGGGAATTGAAAACCCAAAAAATCCCGATTCAAGTTTATTATGGACTAGGATTTTTGTATTGGGCCTAATGGACCCATAAAAACTCAATTAGACTATCTTGGGCTTGGAACCCTTAAATGGGCTCTAAATGGACCCACATTCATAAAACTTAACATTTTGGACCACATTGGTTTTAAATGGATTAGTTTAGCTCTAATGGGCCTTGTTGGGCCATAAACTCATTCTTTTATATCATATTTGGGTCGTGAATACTCACAAGGGCCCAATGGGCCGAAAATCATTATTGGGCTCCAAAACTTTGAGGTAAGTCTAGAATAGGCCCAAACTATCTCACTCTTATCCCTCTTAACCTAAAAATCTCGGCCCAATGCATATATATATATATATATATATATATATATATATATACATATATATATATATATATATATATATATATGTATATATATATATATAAGTGTATAAAAAGAGAGAGAGAGAGAGAGAGAGAGAGAGAGAGAGAGAGAAGAATTAACTTGCAATTGACACATCACATTTGCATGGTGGTCTTCCATTCTAATTAATCTTTAAGTAATCCATAAATCTCATGCAT